ACTAGGACTATGCAAAGGACTTGAAAGCAGTGATGCAAACTGACATGTATACCACTGTGCATTTGCAGCATTATTTACAGTTGCAGAAAGGTGGAAACAACCTAAATGTCCATCAAAGAATAAATAAAATGTGGTACTTACATATGATGGAATACAACTCAGCCAGAAAGAGAAGTGCATTCCTGATTCATGCTACAATATGAATGGAGTTTGAGGACATTATATTGAATGAAATAGGCAGAAAGGACAAGTACTGTATGACCTCACATATATAAAAAGACAAGAGCAGGCAAATGTATAGAGACTAAAGTTTGTTAGTGGCCATCAGGGGTGGGAGGGAGGGGGGAAGAAGAAAGTTTTGTTTATGGAGCACTGAGTTTTTGTTTATGGTGATGGAAAATTTGCATTAAGTGTAAGGGTTGCACAGCTGATTAATGTAATTATTGTCAATAATTTGTACACCTGTAAAAACTTGAATTAGCCAATGCTGTGTGACATATATTCTTACAAAAAAAAAAAAAAAAAAGCAGCTGCTGAGGCTGCTTGTGTAAAACCAAACACATCAATGGGTTTGGTTTCTTGGTTTGGTGGTTTAGGGTCATGGTTTCATGTGTCATCCCAATTAATTGGCCTAATATCATTTTTAGTGCTTTTGTTCTACCTCTTAGTTCGTTGGGTAGCACCTGGGTTCTTAAAAGCGTGCCAGTGGCCATTCAAGGCGCAACAGTTGGTCTCTATTCACCTGGAGCAGTAGAGGAAGAAAGAGATTCAGGAACAGAGGGAAGAAATGGAATGTGTGCCTAATTGCTTCCATGAACAAACACCTCCTTTGCCATGAGACGAGAAGAACTGGATAGTGCCTGAGGACCATTACTTAATATTTTGATCAGAGATTCTATAGAAGAGTCTCTGATCAAAAGATGGAAAATGCAGAACACTATTTCAAATTCTCATGGAATCCAGAATTGCAGAATGAACCTCTGAAACCGTTGCCCTTAGATAATATTTAAACCTTAAACCTTAAAACAAAAATATTCTCTGAGTTTTTTTTTTAAACCAAATAATAAATTAGCTTACTTAGTAAATAATATTTGCCTTGAACTTCATGCTCTTTTGAATAACTGTTTATATGGGATCAAGTTGACAACAGAAAAAAGTTAGATAGGAAGCTTGGGGGCAGTAAGTTCATCTTAATGGGGCAAGAACAATTCAGGAATGGAGGATAAGAATGGCTGCACCACTTGAAGAATGTAATCAATATCACTGAATTGTACAAGCAGAAATTGTTGAATTGGTGTATGTTTTGCTATGTATTCTTTCAACAACAATAAAAAAAGAATTGATCATAGATGGAAGGGCTTATTTCTAGACTCTTCAATTATTTTTTCTGTTGGTCTGTCTATTCTTATGACAGCATCACACTGTTTCAATCATTGTGTCTTTGTAGTAACATTTGAAATTGAAAAGTGTGAGTCCTCCAACTTTATTCTTCATTTCCAAGATTGTCTTGACTATTCTGGGTCCTTTGCATTTCATATATGAAATTTAGGCTCAGCTTGTCAATTTATAGAAAAAAAAATACAGCTGTAGTATTGATAATGATTAGATTGAAACTGTAGATCAATTGAGAAGGCATTGTAATTGTAACAACATTAAGATTTTTCTATTCATGAATATGGGATGTTTTTCCATTTATTTAGATCTTCGATTCCTTTCAATGAAGTTTTATAGTTTTCAGTATACAAGTCTTGTACTTCCTTCATTAAATTCATATCTAACTATTTTATTCCATTTGAAACTACAGTATTATAAATGGGATTGTTTTCAAAATTTCATTTTCTGATTGTTCATTGTGAGTATATGGAATACTGATCTTGGGTCTTGCTACCTTGCTGAATTTGTTTATTTCTAGTATTTTTGTAGTGGCTTCCTTAGGATTCTCGATGTTCAAGGTCATGTCATCTACAAATAGAGTTTTCATTTTTTTTTTTTTTTCTGATCTGGATGCTTTTTATTTTATTTTCTTGTCTAATTGTCCTGTCTAGAACCTCCAGTACAATGTTGAATATAAGAGGCCGGAACAAATATTCTGACCTTGGTGTTCTTATCCCCATTTGGCATAAAATATCTCTTCTGTGAATAAGTTGGGGTGGGGATAATCAGAATCCCAATAGTCTTGGTCTGCTGTGCCTGGGGTAGAGCTTCTGACCTACAAGTGTGGGCTGGGTGAGGCAAGAGAAACCTGGTTCTTTAGGCCCTGCTTGCTTGAAATAAAGATTCTATAACATGGAGTTGTAGAAAATGAAGAACACCTGCAGCCTGCTGCTCCTAGGATAAAACCTAGCCCAAGAGGGAGAGAGAGCCCCTGTCTTCTTTACCTAACATGCCTGGAGTATACCTTCCATAATAAGGAGCTCCAGGAGGCTATAATTAAGTGGATTAAATGCTGAAGATTGTTGCTGTTATTACTGAAATTTAGTAGATATTCTCATTTTTTTTTCCATTTGCTCTACAACCTTAGGTCAATTTCCAGAGGCTTTAAATTACTTTTTGAAAAAAATAATTTTCACCACTTAAATTGTTTTGCTGGGGAGAAGGTGCATCCATGTCTTTACACTGTCATTCCAGAAAGTTTGCCATTTTCAAGTTTTGAAGGGTGTTTGGAATTTTAATTACGCTCTTAGCATTCAGAAGTTTTTTTTTTTTGTCGTTGTTGTTGTTTGGTTTGATTTGGTATTGCTTTGGTTTAGTAGATATTTGGAGAAAAAAGTGGACATTTGCATTTGCTAATATGAAGTTTTTTTGATGATATCATTTTTCATTCTTTAATTATCTTAAATCCACGTATGTTTTAATGCCAAGATGAAATTATATCATCCCTAATTAACATTTTTACACCTCAGTTATTTACAATACTAAAATATATTTTCAATGAGGTTTTCCTGTAATAATTTATTATATTTTTTATGTTTTTACTTTGAATTGTAATTGTAAGATATTTAATGTGAGGAAGTATGTTCACGATCTATCCCCATTTTCTAAAGTATCTTAAAACAGTGTCAATATTATGTGTTATTTTCATATGATTCTACTAGGAAGTCTGATTTTAGGTAAAGTGGTATCTGACCAGAAGATAAAGCGGTACTTCTGTGCAATTGAGTTTTTAAACATTTTTTGTAAAACAGCTGTCAAAATACTTTTTTTTCCACTACATTGATTTTTTGAAACTTAGTTATTCTAGTCTTCAAGAAGACTTTTTTTTAAAGAACAGCTATGCTTTCAAAATTCCATATATATATACATATATATATATTATTTCTCACGGTTGTGACTGCTGTTAGCTGCCATCAAGTCAGTTCCCACACATGGTGACCCCATGAGTGCAGAATAGAACTGCTCCATAGGGTTTTAAAGGCTACGACCTTTCAGAAGCATGTCATCAGACCTGTCTTTCAAGACTCCTCTGAGTGGGTTCAAATGGCCAACCTTTCAGCTATTAGTTGAGCACTTACATGTTTGCCCCATCCAGGATGATTTATACTTGTTTAATATCTTACAGATTGCAGAAAAAATTATCAGAAATTAAATATCTCATTTAAGGCCAATAGAGTTCCATGAAATGGACTAATACCCTTCTTTTAAAATTCAGAAAAATGAAAGAGATATACGACTAGTTTGCCTGAAACCATTCAATTAGAAATTGCCATGAATTAAAAATGAGGTTTTCCATATCCAAGACCTGTCTTTTTTTTCATATAGTGTATTTTTTATTCATATTAATAAACTATACATAGTATGTTGGAAGATAATGCTTAATAAAAGTAGGTACTCAATAAATGTTATGACACATTGACATCTTTCAATCAATTATGACTGTATATGCTCCCCACTTTCTAGTATGTCTGAATTGAATGAAGTGGGGCAGTCATATTTGATATGGTTGTCTGCTCTTCTATTTAATAAGAAATTTGAATAAAATAAGAAATTTACAGCATGAAATCACTTGCTGATTTCAAGGAAAAACTCTTTCACCTTTGAAAATATATTTAAGAAGAAGGAGAACAGATTTAATACTTTGAAAAAGGCATTTTTTTTCCTTGACTGTGTAAATAATATCATTGGAGAAACATCTGAATGCTGATGGATTAAAGACAATAGCAGATGAAGTGTGACTTCATTCTGTTACAGATCATTTTAGATACAAAGATAAAACATGATAAGGGAAGAAGAGTGGAAAATGAAAGAGTTCAGCTCTAATTTTATAAGACTGAATTTTATAGTATAAGTTTCTAATGATAAGTCAAGAAAGAAATATAAACCCTGCTCTCATATACTGATGTAAAACTTCCATTTTGAAGTCTGTTGTTTCTGACAGTAGACGTCTTTCATGGTGGTGTTACTAGTTTTACACATTTATTTTTTACTATATTACGCCTATTCTGCCATGTCTCTTGGCCGAGGTAAAGAATAAAGATACCATCACACATTACAAAATGCCAGTCCCTTCCATAAATTATTTGCAAATCAACATTATATGTAAAATGAAATCCATACTTTAATGGGATTAGAAAGCAACATTTGCAAAGCACTTCACTCAATTAAATGAAAGACTTGTTAATACTCTTTGTAATTTGACTGCATTATTTATGCCCATGAAAGACAAATCCTAATCTTTAGGATGACAAAACAGCACCTGCTCAGAAGGATTCAAATGTGTCTTTCGTTGTTTTTTTCATTAAAGTGAAAGAAAAACAACCAGAAATTGGACACTTGTAAAATTGGTCCACCTCAACATAGAGCATGAGGGCCTATGTACTTCTTAAGTCTCTTCCAGCTTTGTTTTCAAAAGTGATTATAATTTAGTAATGTAAAAAAAGAAAATCACATTGTATTACCTCTATTCTTTATTTTAGTTAATATCTATGCATTATTATATCAGCAAAGTGACTATATTTTATTAAATTTGCATTATTTTGGAATACATTAAAAAATAAAGTTTGGTGCTCGCTTTGACAGCACATATATTAAAACTGTAAAGATACAGAGAATATTAGCATTGCCCCAGTGCAAGGATGACACACATATCTGTGAAATGTTCTATATTTTTTTGCTGTTAATAAGTTGTACACATGTGAAAAGTCGAACTGGCAAAAGTTGTGTGATAGATATATTTTCAATAATGACAAAAAAAAAGTAGCTGCTGAGACTGCTTATGTAAAATGAAACACATCATGGGATTTGGCTTCTTGGTTTGGTATCCTAGGGTCATGGTTTCATAGGCCATTCCAATTAATTGGCCTAATAATGTGTTTAGTGCTTCTGTTCTACCTCCTAGTTCATCTGGCAATGCCTGGAGTCTTAAAAGCTTGCAAGTGGTCATTCAAGATATAACAATTGTTCTGCATTCACCTGGAGTAACAGAGAAAGAAGAGAGTCAGGAATAGAAGCAGGAAATGGAATGTGTGCCTAATTGTCTCCATGAACAATTGCCTCCTCTGCCATGAGACGAGAAGAACTGGATGATACCCAGCTATAATTACTGAACATTTTGATCAGAGACTCTATAGAAGGATACTGACCAAAAGGGGGAAAAATGCAAAACAGAATTTAAAATTTCCGTGGAGGAGGCGTAGGCAAGATGGCAGTGTAATTAGACACTTCCCATATCCCTCTTACAACAAAGACCTGGAAAAACAAGTGATTTGATTCTATATGAACATCTAGGAGCCCTAAACAAGGCAAAGTTGAGGAATCGGACTGAGTGATGGGGGGAGAGGGAGACTGTTTGGAAGAAGCAAAGAGCCCCAGAGCCGAGGCCGCGAAACTGCAGCTCTGCAGCCATGCTGGTCCGCAGTGAAAGAGGCAAACAGCTGTGCTGTGCAAGTGCTCAGGAAGCAGTTTCCACATTGAGAGAGACCCAGCAGCAGAGATTCTGCTTGGACACTCTGAATCAGTGAAAAGCAGCTTGCAAGTGGCTAAGATAAGTACATGCGTGCAGCCTTTCATGGGATTTAAAAAAAAAAAAAAAAAAAAAGCCCATTTGGGAAAAACCTCTCTCCCTTTTACCTACTCCCTCCGCACTCTGCACCAGGAGTCCACTGGACCGGAAGTAGATCCGAAAAGGCACCCTGATCCATTCTTCTGGCCTTGGAGAGGGAACAAATAATCTACTGGCTCCCCTAAGCCAGGAACACAAGGTCAGCACAACTCCTTTGCTAGGCACAGGTATCAGGGATCCGCAGACTCTGAGTGCCTTACACCCCTGTGTAGACTTGTGGGGACCCATCTCAACAGCATTAGCCCTCACTATCACAGTAAAACAAGGCAAACGTCTGAAGTTTAACTTCAACTGTTTAAGCTGTGAAGTGGCAGATTTGTGACCCTCGAAACAGCCCTGCCCTTAAGTAGACACTTTTATCAATCTGCAACAGGGGCTTGAGGATTGGTGGATGCACCTAAACCTCCTAGTCACCTGCTACAGGAGACCAAGAAAAAGTGGTGCCCTCCAGTCTTTACAGCCAACAACGTAGGGTGCTCATAGTCCGGCTGCAAAACTCACCTACCTATTCACCCTAGAGAATAGGAACAAGCTTTCCTTTCAGACTCTCAGGGGCAGCAGTCAGCCCCCTGCCTGGCTCAGCAAGTGATCCCCTACCACAGCCAGAGTCCAGTGCCTACACCAATCACCCATGCCTCTCTAGGACTGGAGGTGAGAGCCTGCATCACACACTTGGTGACCGACTGCCTGGACATCTGAGCTGAACCCATATAGGAAAATTTAAAGGACTCCTGTGAGCACATACTTAGCTACAGAACTAACTACCTGGTGACAGGACATTAGAGATTCAAAGGTGTCAATAATCAGACTAGAGCACACGAGCAGCCTATTTGGGTATATCAAAACAAAACAAGAAGTTAGGTCTCACTAAACAAATGTAAAAAAAAAATTATAATAACTTATTGATGGTTCGGAGACTACAGTCAATATCAAATCATATAAAGAGGCAGTCCATGATGGCTTCAGCAAGCTCCCAAAATAAAGAATCAATAAATTCTCTGGAGGAAGAGAATTTCTTGGAATTACCAGAGACAGAATACAAAAGATTAATATACAGAACTCTTCTAGATATTAGAAAGGATATTCGAGAGAATGTAGAAACAGCCAGGGAACATACAAAGTAGTAGCGGAACTTAAAAAAGTTATTCAAGAACATAATGACAACTTTAATAGACTGCAAGAATCCATAGAGAGACAGCAATCAGAAATCCAGGAAATTAATAATAAAATTTCAGAATTAGACAACTCAATAAAAAGTCAGAGGAGCACAATTGAGGCAATGGAAGTCAGAATTAGTGAGATTGAAGATAAAGCTCTTGAAGTCAACTTATTTGAGGAAAAATCAGATAAAAGAATGAAAAGGAATGAAGAAACTCTAAGAGTTATGTGGGACTCTATCAAGAGAAATAAGCTACGAGTGATTGGAGTACCAGAACAGCGGGAGATAACAGAAAATACAAAGAAAATTGTTGAAGATTTGTTGACAGAAAACTTCCCAGATATCATGAAAGATGAGAAGATATCTATCCAAGATGCTCATCGAACCCCTCATAAGGTAGATCCCAAAAGAAAGTCACCAAGACATATTATAATCAAACTTACCAAAACCAAAGATTGAGAATTTTTAGAGCTGCTAGGGATAAAAGACAAGTCATCTACAAAGAAGAGTCAATTCGAATAAGCTCGGACTATTCAGCAGAAACCATGCAGGCTAGAAGGCAATGGGATGACATATATAAAGCCTTGAAGGAAAATAACTGTCAGCCAAAAATTATATATCCAGCAAAATTGTCTCTCAAATATGGTGGCAAAATTAGGGCATTTCCGGATAAAATTCCCGTGGAATCCAGACTTTATGGAGTCATTAAGGCTGTGTGAACCCCCAAAATTAATACCCTAAGATAATCTTTAAATATTAAACCAAAAGTATCCCCTGAAGTCTTCTTCAAACCAAACAATAGTTTAGCTTAACTAGTAAAGAGTGTCTGCCTAAAGCATTATGCTCTTTTAAGATCTGTCTATATGGGATCACAGGCATGCTGGTGGCACAATGGTTAATGGCTTGGTTGCTAACCAAAGGTCGGTGGTTCCATCCATCAGCCACTCCATGAAAGAAAGATGTGGCAGTTTGCTTCCATAAGAGATTTATAGGCTTGGAAACCCTGTAGGGACAGTTCTACTCTGTCCTGTAGGGTTGTTGTGAGTTGGAATCCACTTGGTGACAATGGGTTTGGTTTTGGATATGGGATCATACTGACAACAGCAATTCAGAAGATTAGATAGGAACCTTAGAGGAAAGTTTATGTTAATGGAGGAGGAAAAATTCAGAAAAAGAGGGTGAGAATGGTTTCACAAGTCAAAGAATGTCATTCAGTATCACTGAATTGTATATGTAGAAACTGTTGAATTAGTGTACATTTTACTATGTATATTTGCAACAACAACAATATAAATTATAAAAAAAGTTTATTAAAAAGAAGGAAAATTATAAAGGAAAGTCGTATAGGAAGACATTTTCTTACATATATTGACCAGTAAGGAGAACAGAGAGTAAGTTAATTAGTTAAGCCTTAGATCTCTGAAGAGTGAGAAGAGTGATATTATAGGACTGGAAATATGTCACTTTGAATGGGCCCTATCTTTGCATATTTTATTTTTATTTATTTTAATGTTTGCTCATTGAATAATGTTGCTGTTGTTAGGTGCCATCAAGTCTGTTCCAACTTATAGTGACCCCGTGTACAACAGAACGAAACACTGCCCAGTCCTATGCCATCCTCACAATTGTTGTTATGCTTGAGCCCGTTGTTGCAGCCAACGTGTCAGTCCATCTCACTAAGGGTCATCCTCTTTTTCACTGACCCTCTACTTTACCAAGCATGATGTCCTTCTCTAGGGACTGGTCCTTCCTGAGAACATGTACAAAGTATGTGAGACAAAGTCTCGCCCTCCTCGCTTCTAAGGAACATTCTGGCTGTACTTCTTCTATGACAGATTTGTTTGTTCTTCTGGCAATCCATAGTATACTCAGTGTTCTTTGGCAATACCACAATTCAAAGAAATCAATTCTTCTTTGGTCTTCCTTATTCATTGTCCAGCTTTCACACGCATATGAGGTGATTGAAAAATACCGTGACCTAGTTCAGGGGCACCTTATTCCTCAAAATGACATCTTTGCTTGTTAACATTTGAAAGAGGTCTTTTGCAAAAGATTTGCCCAATACATTTAATAATAATAATAATAAAATTGTACAAATTGAAATGTCTTGAGGTAGCCTCTTTATTTTTTTCTTGAGTAAATGTATTTTTATTGAATAAGAATTGGTAGAATGGGTCCATTTGCTTTAGAAGGGACATGGGAAGTTGTGATGATATAATTGATAGCATATTTCTTTTTCCCTTTTTACACATTTAAGTATTAAAATAATCTCACACTGCCAAAAGTTATTCTGGTTATTCATCCTGGAATAATTCTGTGATCAAAGCGTACACAATGAATACCTATAAAGCAACACAATTGAACCCACTGAATTCCTAAAATGAGGGAACTGTGAGGAAATGGCTTTTGGAAGTTATTCTTTCAGATTCTTCCAGAATATTAGAGATCCATAGGAGACTGAGTCAATAAAACTTACAGATTCAGAGACTGCCCAGCCACTGGCAACTTTCAGCACATCAGTCCTGATGTACAGCAATTTCTCACTTTATCTTGAGCTCATTTGTAAATCTGGTCTACAGTTTTGTGTGAAATTTTTACTCCCCCTGGCCTTTGATGTCATTCTAATTTTTTGTACCTCTTGTTCTTATCTTGATTCCACATAAAGTTCTGATTTCCAGTCCCTTCAGGGAATGTCTAAAGCTTCCATTCTTTTTTTTTTTTTTTTCCTAAACTTCTTTCTACCCACAGCAGAACGTGTGATGGATGGAGGAAATAAGTTACATGTCTTAATTTTACTTGACATTCCTTTATTAGTTTATTCCTTTATTACTGCCAAGCCCATCCATTATACAGGAATATTGGATCTTTCCCAGAGCAAAAGAAATTCAAA